GGGCTGGTTGGTGTATATGGGGGGACGGGAGGGCGCTGGGCCGGGGGGGTGTATATGGGGGGCTGGTTGGTGTATATGGGGGGACGGGAGGGCGCTGGGCCGGGGGGGTGTATATGGGGGGCTGGTTGGTGTATATGGGGGGACGGGGGGTGGTAAGTGGGGGGGGTACATGGAGGGGCTGGGGGGAGCCTGTGGGTGAATTGCTGGCGGGGGGTGTGTGTCTGGCCCTGGTGGGGAGGGGAGGGGCCAAGCCGTTGCCTGGGGCAGAGGTGGGGTGGGGGAGGATGTTTGGTTCTGTGCTGGTGAGGCCGAGGGGGCTGGGGGTGTGTGTGTGTGGGTGATTTGTGGGGGGCTGGGGAGCAGGCCTCTCTCCCCTGGTTCTCCAGTCCAGGGCGAGGGGAAGAATCTTTCCCGTCCTGGCTGGCCAGGGTGCTGGGGGACCCCCAGTTCCCGAGTCTAGGGCACAGACTGTCTCCTGGGGCCTGTGGGGTGGGGGCAGGCGCTGGCCTCTGGGTTGTGTGGAAGATCCAGTCATGTGATCGTTCTCTCTGGTGCCTGGGGTGGGGCCTTGTCATAACCCGGGGTAGCCGCGGACACCGTGTACCTGGACACCCACCTGCAGTGCTGTTTGAGCCGCTCCCGAGAAGGCCCCTCTAGGTAGCTGGCCCAGGGGAAGGCTGCTGTGGGGTAGGCAGGTCCATCCTTGGTGAATCTGAGGGGATGTCTCGACCCCCTCTGGCTGTCAGCTCACACCTAGGCTCTCTCCTTTAGCCCCTGTAGCCTCACCCTCCTGGCCCTTCGCTTCCTGGTGTGCACAAAAAGGCTGCTCTTGTGCCAAGGAGAGAGGTGGGAAATGCTCCCTGGTGACCCGGGGGAGCCCCCTTCTGGTTATACACCTGTTTGTGTTGCCCTTCGCTGATTGCCCCTCCAGGATGGGCGCCGAACCCCCACGGCTGCACCGCTGCCCCCTCTGACCCATGAGTTACCAAACCTCAGAACCATCGGCCTTCAGAAACCTCTGTGCTCTGTCAGCCTTCTCCTCCGGTACCAATCCAGAGCTGAAGTGCCGCTGTGCGGAGCCAGCCATGCTCAGCTCTGTTCTCTGGGCAGCTCAAACTGCCCGCCCCCCCCCCCCGGGGTTCCACGGGTCTCCTGGCAGGAGCAAACCTCGCGGCTGTCTGTCGAGTCTAGTGACCGGCTGCTCTAGCCGGGTTTGGGGGCGAATTGACCTCTTGAGATGACCTGTGCTGTGGTGATCTAGCATTTGTGCCCTGGACTGTGGTGTACTGCTGGGTGATCCCAGACTAGGAGTAGATCGGGGTTGGGGTAGGAGCCTAGGACCTGGGTTCTGATCCCAGCTCTGCTGCTAACTCCTTTGTGCCTCCTGTGCCTCAGTTTCCCTCCTTGTACAATGAGGTGAGTGCGCTCAGATATGGTGAGGATTTATGCTCTGTTGGTCTCGATGCTTACAGCTCCTTCTGCTCTGTAAAAATTGCCCGATCTCCTCCCCACTGAGGCCTAGAAACCTGAATCTCTTTAGTTTGGGATTTACCAGCTGTTGACAGGACTTGCTCCCTGCTAGCTCAGCTTAATGCATGTAGCAAAGGTCCCCTGGTGGTGCCCCTGTTCAGACCTTCCCCTGTGGCAAAGGTTTTATCTTGAACGTAGGCAACAGGTTTGAAGCAGACAGAAGGAAGCACTTCACCCTGGGGGACTCGCTGCCGGGGATGTTGTGAACACTGGGTTCAAAAAAGCACAAGAGAAGTTCCTGGCGGGTAGGAGGCAGGGACTGGGCTCGCTGGATCGTTGGTCTGACCTAGTATGACTGTTCTCATGTTCCTGCGTCCGGATCTCAAGTCCTGAAAGCCCAGCTCCCCCCCCCTCCCCTCGGAGCGGTCAGTGTCAGCGGGGCAGTGCACGTAGGCAGCAGGTTGGTTAATTCCATGGCTGCTGGAAACAGCTTGTCTAACTTTTTCCAAGTGCGGGCGGGTGATCCTGGGAATGCCGCTTCACGCGCCACATGTGGGTGTAACTCGCCTGCCTCTGAAACTTCCTGTTGCAGCCCAGTGGCCAAAGCGGTGAATCACCCGGCTGCTGGGCCCCTCCCCTCTTAGAAACACACAAGGGCAGGGTTTGAGGGTTTGATGGCCTTAGGAAGCCAGCCGCCCAGCTGAGCAAAGCAGCTAGGACCTTGGCCCCAGCAGAGCAGGCTCGGCCCTCAATCCCTACTGCCCGGACTCGGCGAGCCAGGGTGGCATACAGCTTTGCTCTGGCGCTGGGTCTCTCTGGGCTGCAGCCTGACAGCTCTGGGGACGCTTAGCTCCAGCCGCTGCAGGGTGAGTGGGACAGAAATGACCAACTTGCTGGCAGAACAATGTAATTGAATAGTCACTGCAGTACCTAGTGCTGTTCATCAGCAGACCCCAAAGGGCTTTGCCAGGGAGTCTCCCGTGTCTATAGATGGGGAAACTCCGGCACAGAGCCCGAGTGACTTGCGTGTGGTCACCCTGTGGCCGGCGGGAATAGACCTCGGGTCTCTGGAGTTCTATCCCTGACCTCCCCTTCACGGTCTCATGGCTGCACTGCACAGGCCCCAGCAGGTCAGGGTGGGAGGGGGGCCTTATTCTGCCACAGGCCCCCACCCCAGGGAGCTGACAGCTTAATTAAAGGGTAGAGGAG